GGGGAAAAAAAAGAACCAAGAGAGATTATGTAAAGGTGCAAATTTCCAATGATGAATGTCATTATATCATATAACTAAAGTGTACCAATAAAATTAATTTTAAAAGTTACCCTTGCCTTTTTTAAAAAGAAGTTTTGTTTTCCATGCAAAGTTGTAGGGGAAATTAGAAGTGAGAAGGGGTACTGTTACTTTTTTTTTTCTGAAGGTTACATATTAAGCCCAAAAAATACATGAGGTAAATTACCCTTAAAGCATAAATGTTTCATTTTTATGATTTCTTCTCCAATTGGTTACTGTTAGATGTAAAACATTTCTTCTGCTCTTTTCTCTGATTTTTTATAACATTCTCCTATGTTATCACTTTTTATAAGATAGTCTAGGAGCAGACTTAAAGTGTGTCTCTTTTGGGACCACGGCAAAAGAGTAACTTCTATAAATTCGCTTTGTTCATCTGTATTGAAATTTATTCCAGTGAAGCAGGTGATGAAGTCTCTGTTTCATGGTCCATTTTTTTTCAGGGTTCTAGATTTAATAATTTCAGAGATGAGTTTCAAATATTTTTTCAACTGTGGTTAATCAAGAAGAGTATTGGGAGCTGTGTTTTGAACTAGCTATTCCTGATCCACCATGCTTAAGATTAAGTGCTGTAAGTGGTTTATTCTGTGGAGCTAATGGATCTGAGTTAACCTAAACAGGGTTTTTCCCACAATCCTCATGGGACCCTCATGGTAATATTGCCAAAATTGACAAACTACGTTAAACACAACATAGATAGCCTCCTTATTCCAAATCCAGACTTGCTAAGTACTACTCTACATCTCTAGTATACCTTAATATTTTAAGTTTTCTAACTTTCATAATATCAATTATTCTAAGTATGTTCAATATCTCCCCTACAATTATATAAAACTCTTGTGCCATTGACAATTTTATTAAACCATTCTCTAATGCATTCTTATTTTTTCCATTAAGTTTTTGGTACATTTTAGGTATACAATACAGTTAGATTCATCATTGGGATCTTGTACCTTTACATGATGTATCTTGGTTCTTATTTTTTCTCCATTCCCCTGCCCTGCCTTCATTCCCTCCACCCTTCCCTATTTACAAAGACTTTGTTTCTCTTTTGTCCTTTTCTCATATTTTTTCCTTTCCCTTCTTTCCTTTCCCCTACCCCTCCCATTCCCCCTACTTCTTTAGACCTTTTTTTCCTATTTAACATTATCAATTATACCATTTGATCCTTATTTACAGGTTTAGTTTTTCAAACCAGAGAAACTATTCGGTATAATGAATTCTTATTTAGTTTGAATTTCAAAGTCAAATTTTAAAATACTATAATTCAATATCTCACCTAACTCCTTAATATTTTTATCTTTTTTCTAATTACCCTAAATACACTTACACATGCATACATATATATACAAACATGTTATCCCTTCTTTTGTCTTTAACTCACTTTTTCCAGAAGGAATTAATCTCCCTCTCATCCAAGGACATGAAATATTTAAGAATGTCAGCTAGAATTTAAGCAAAAGTTCACTGTGTCAGGCTCTAGCGTATCTTCATTTTATTTCCAAGTTTATTCCAGTAGCTGATGAGCAGCTGTCTAAGGAACCACCCGATCCTGTACAACTCTCCTCCTACTGCCAAAGAAACCAGCTTGAAAAACAGCTAAACAGTAAAGAGGGAAGAATGTATCTTCGTCCTACTTCTCATTCCTTCATCATAGCCGGCATTGTTCTCATTGCCCAGTGCTGCCCAGCACCTTCCCACAATGGAATGATCCAAAACCTCCACAGGCACCAGGATCACTCCTTCCTCCTTCTTCCCTAACTAAAGATTACACTACTTCATGCTCCATTTACTCATAAGTTCTCTTTTCAACAGATACAGGATAGTATATAATAAAGGGATAATGGATTATCCCACCTAAGTTGCAATTCTAATTTCACAAAACATTCTTTACTAACATTCTGTTTCCTCTTGCCCCACTCGCCTCACCTGTGCCCATACTTCTTACCTCAACACCTTTTTGTTGTTGTTGTTGTTGTTAACTTCTTTTATTGGTACATTGTAGGTATACAACACAATTACATTTCTCATTGGGAATTGTACCTTTACATAATGCATCTTGGTTTTTATTTT